CTTGAAAAGTGGAACCAGAAGTACCAGAAGTAAACCATGCCCATCCTCCAGCCCATCCTAATCTACTTTTATGTTTGAAAATGCCAGGAAAGCAATTAAAAAGGGAATTCGTGGAAAAAAAAAAAGAAGTCTAGACACTTTGCAAAGCTTTTGAGAAATTATTGTGTGACCACTGGGCTTCATCTGATTTGCAGCACTTCATCATTGCAAAAATGCTGGGAGGCCATAAAAGGGGAGAGGCGTCTCTAGACATTAAACGAGGAGAATCACTTCACTGCAAATCTCTGTCCTTATCTGTCACTATTTCACTCTTGGTTTACTGAGGAAATCCCCGCTTTGCCCATGCTATGCTGCTCCCTGTTCTTCGGCAGTGTGACAGAGCTCCAGCCATCCCTCTGGTGTCACAGGACAGGCACTGTGGCACAGGAACAAGCAGCCACATTCTGTATTCACACTGTGTCGAGAGGGTCCATCCAACACTGCTGCTGATGTGGGGCAAAGACAGCTTCTGGCTGCCAGCTCTTTGCATGTAACAAGGAGGTGAAGAACAGTCACAGAGCAGAGTGTGAGAAACATGCTGTCCATGCACACATGAAGATCGGTACATCTCAAGCAGAAGAAGAAAGCTGACCTTGGCCTTGATGCTTCCAGGTCCTGCAGTTGGTATCTTACTGCAGAATTATTTTCTTTGGTGAGATATGTCCCTTCCAACCTTAATAATTCGATGATGATGATGATGATGATGATGATATGGGCTTAGGTGGTGGTGCAGGGATGCACCTGGTGCCTTGTATGACTCTTCACTACTCATGCAACCCTCTCTTCCATTGTTGGAGGCTCTTCAGGTGAAGCTGAAAGCCCAGAATACTAGAAAAAAATCAAGGATGTGTCATAAGCAAATCAAGCTGTGAGTGGCCAGATTTTCATGACTGGCAGACATACTACAGCAAGAAGAGAATGAGGGAAAAGCCAGGTGCTGGACAAAGCTGTCCAACCTGCAAGTTCTTCCAAGATAGCCTGTTCTGCTCACCTGGGATGACTATGACCCTTTTTAGTCGCTGGAGAGGAAGAGGTGTAGACAGATGTGTGCTCTGTGCCATGATTCTGTGACTCATTCAGACTCCAAGGCTGGTCTACTTGCTGGTCCACGTTTTTTTTCTGGTGACAGTCTAAGGGGCCACAAGTCCTTTCACAGAAGTCCTGGTTGCTACCTGTCAAAGGAAGATAGTGCTTCCTCTTTTCCAGGTGCGGGAGCAGGAGCCATCCATTAAACACTGAATTTCTTGGGTACTCTGGGAATGTGGGCTAAGTGCTAAAAATAAGATTTGACATCAAATAGCAACAACAGATCCCCACAGCAAACGAATTAAATAGATTAAATTCTCTGCTCTGCCCTGCAGCAAAAGCCATCTTTCTGTTGCCTGTTTTGGGAAGAAGAGAAAAAGAAATTACTGCAGATTGCTAATCTCAGCCAGAGAACCTTAATCAGACACTTCAAATTCTGAATGCTTCAAAATTTTTGAGTCTAAATATTCAAATAATCAAGTTATTACTGCTTCCAGAAATGGTGGAAAAAATGATGCAGGGCACAATGTATTTCCACCCTTGCATTTCCCTTTATTGGCTTATTTATACATGAAATTTCCCAATTTATCTTTGCATCTAATTATATATAAAAAATGATTTTTAAAGAGTAATTCACTAGGATTAAGAGTGTGCAGCAATTGAGATTAATTGGCAGTTTGCATCTCTCTTACAGCTGTTGCATGCTGTTTGCACATCCAGCAGGGAAATGTGTGCCAGTGATGATGATTGGTGTTTTCAAGGGTTGTTTGTTTTATCTTCCACAGCCTTCCAAGGCCAGACATATCCTCAGCTCCGAATAAGAACTCTTGATTCCTCAATGTCTATATCAGCCATGAGACTCAAGGGAAATAATCAGGGGAACCGATCTGTCTGGGAGCAGGCGCCTGAGACTGCAGTGCCAAAGAGCAGCTTCCTGCTAGCTCTTGGGGCTGACGGAGTAAAGCCAGAAAGTCTCTGCTATCTCCTTCTTTCCCATATTTTTTGCACATTTTTTCTTTTAGCACCTGCCAAGGAAGAGGCTGTTAAAAAAAATCTCACTGCTCCCTGAAGGACTTGGGCTTGTGTGCCCGGCCAGCATGCGGATGCTCTGGTGTGTGCGTGCAAGGCAGGCGTTCTCCATACATGACACTCTTGAATGCGATGCGATGGTGTGCAGCAGGCTGGAAGACAGCGAGTCAGAAAAGGTTATGAAGATGCAGTTTATTGAAACAATATAAAATCATGGCTGGAAACCCAGGCATAGCACCTTCGCAGCCTTGCAGCAAACAATACTAGGTTAATGTAGCCCTGCTATGCAGTGTGATCGTATTTTTCTCTGTTCCATACCACTTCCTCAATCTAATTTACCCTCCACAGTGCTCATAATGTTCTCGAAGCTGGTAAATTAACTTGTTTTTCCAAGGCATCCAACACAACAGTAGTACAGATACAGTTTTACTCAGGCATGCCTGGTCCCCAGATAGGAGATCAGGCAATTACTACTGCACTGATACCTTCAAGTTCACACAACCTTAAATGCTAACAAGAGTTCAGTCATAGTCTCCCTTACCATGCTTCAGAAGGAGAAACAAAAGCAGTGGGCTGGGACTCAGATCATGCCCTAAACTTGTCAATACCTGGTAAAAGAATAGTTCAACTAAACCATTGCCACTTTCCTGTGACCCTCGCTTTTTTTAGCTCTTCTCTACCAGTTTAGTTTCACATTGAGCTCTCCTGGAGGCAAAGAAGGATGACGCGGGTTATGTAAAAGCACACAACCCGGTGAAGAGGTTTGGAGCATCAGAAAGACTTTAGGTCACTCCTCAGGGGTAGCGATGGTTCAAATTCCACAGATGGTCAAAAAGAAGAATTCCACATTGGTAAAGGAATAATGCAGTTCTTGAAGCCAAGGATGAAGCCCACATGAGCTGGGACTAGAGTGTTTCCTCCATACGTTGTGTCTACAAAACACTTCTAGATGGGAAGGAATAAGGAGCAACGAGTTAAACCAGCTTTTCTCCATTCAGAACTTTGACTTCTTCAGAGAAAGAGAGTCAAACTCTCTTCTCTCAAACTCTCAAACTCTGAACTATTTAACTTGTTTTTAGCAAAAACAATTTTACCTCCAGCCACCCTGATGTTTTGCTTGTGCGGAGCTGCACCTGTTTTCTGCAGCTCTTGATGCTAGTGTGGGTGATTTCCTGTGCTGACCTCAAGACTGTTGCTCTGTGCTCACTCAGGTTCTTCAGACTTCCTGTTTCTTCTTAAAGCTTTCATTTTACCAACAGTTTCCTGCTCTAAGACTTCTTGTGAGAGAAATCCTGCAACTTACTTTCAACAAGATGTAGCTGGTAACGTCTTTGAATGATCTTCTTTTCACTAACACTGTCTTCCTTTCGTTCAGCTTTCTGGATGGATGAGGTGAACTTCTGCAAAATATTCAAGAATGTATCACTGTATATCACATTTCTTTATCTTACAGCTCTCTAGAAAACAAAGAGTTGACTGGCTCTGATGGATACAGCTTTCAATCACATTCATGAAAACTATTGTGCTTTCTTCATTAACTTATCAGGGAGCAGTGAGCTCTCTATTATTTTGGCTTTCAATCATTTTCCTTCAGTCATTGCTCAACTGCTATTATGAACATATTAGCAAGTGCAAGAGGAATAGCGGGAGTAAACGGCCTGATTTCAACACCGCTGTCCTGTGTGCCGCTGTCAGCAATGGAGAAATGGAGATAACCTCGGGAGGGATTGCACTCAAAGAAATGCTGCCATAGCAGAATCGTTTGAGCAGTAAAATTGCTTTCTCTTGTCACAGCCATGGAAGGAAAATAGTTTAAATGACTGTGGATGTGATTTTTACTTTCTCAATCATGTGGCTGTGTGGAAAGCTTCATCACTGTCTAAGGAAGTGTTTTTGAATTGAAAATTTTGAATTTGCAATCGAAGGTTACATTTGTTTCAGTTATTTGCAAAGCACGCACATTGGGTAGCGGTGAATTTCTCATAGAAAACTTTCAAAGTTGGTGTTCTAAATCTTATTGTTTTCCTATAGCATGTATATTTTATTTATCCCTAATTCCTATCAGAATATTTGCATTAAATGCAACTGTTCAGTTGTAGCCACTTTTCTTATTCACTTGCCACTTAGACCAAAGACTGTGTTATAACTGCTGCTTGTTGCTGAGTGTTTATGTAGGCATTAACTGACATCTCCTCCCTGCTAGCATTGATTTACAGTGAAAACACAGGTACAAGAGCCTTATACTTGCTTAGGAAGTTGTGTGGGAGTGTTTTGGATAAAAAATGCAGTTTATAAACAATTAATATATTTTTACTGAAACGTTGCTTCTGCTAACATGACCCAAACAAACTGTTTCCTTCTTGTGCTGGGCTGACCCAAATCAGAACGTTCTGACACTTCAGACTGAATCGAGTCATTTTCTTCCAGCCTGGTCTGGAGCTGCATTTGCCTGAGCTTTCCAGAGGTTGTAGTTGGCCACCTTCCCTGCCTGCTGCGCTCTCTGTCCCATGAAGCCTATTTCTAAGACCCCATGGACCTGAACACTGCATTTAAGGAAGCAGGAGACTTTCTGCTCTGGGCTCACATGGCTTTCTTGAGCCTCTCTGTTGGACAAAACCCATTGACTTGGTCACTTCCTTACCAGGAATTCAGAGCAGTTAATGTAGGCAAGGAATTCTGACCTGACTCTGGGTCTCAAGACTATGAGGATTACTTAACACTCGTGTTGGCTGCAAGACAGCCCTGGAGTGGCAGCTATATATTATATCAGTGTGCCACGAACTTTTGTGCAAATCAGTTCTCCAGCATGTTTCTGTTTCTCAGGAGCCACAACACAGTCTGTGGTGACTGGCAAGCATCATTGTGAGACACGTAACTGGATTGTGCCGTTGTGTACATACATCACCATGACTTCTCTTTGGACCTCACTGGAAAAAGAAGTGTTCAACCCTCAGAACAAGAGGCTGCTGGAAACAGTTCGTGTTTGGAAAACAGGAAAGAAGAAGAAGATGTCCATTCTCTGTGTCGTAGGTAAGAAACTCAGGGGTGATGGGAGCTGCAGGTCCAATGAAATTCTGGATAGCATAGTCACCTAATTCATTCCAAGTAATCTTAGCCGTAATGTTTATCTTAGCCATAATAGTCACCTAAGTCTTGGTGACTTGACTCCCTCTGTACTCAGTAGAGGAGTATCTCTAAGGTACAACTTAGAGATACAACTACACTGTGTACACTATACAGCATCTGCAATACATCAACCACCCCTGGAATTGCTGGTGTGTCTCCACTCAATGTCTAGATCAGAAGGGATATCTAAATTATAATAATGAGGATTAGCTGCAGGGAATCTTTCCTGGATGAACCAAGATCTGACTGTAAGCTAATTCAGCCTGGCATTGGATATTTACCAGTGAACTCTACCAGCAGGGCAGGCTTCACTGATGGTATAGAACTGTAAGTGTGGGTATCGGTCAAACCATGCGGTGACAATGTAGAGAATGTGGTATGGAACAGTCTGTTCCATAAATCTGTTAAATCTGTTGTTAAGACTCTCTAGTGACATTTGAACCTTGGTGAGTTATGGACTTTGCACATACCATCAATGGCTTCATGCAAAACTCTTTGAAATTATTGAGAATCCCTCCATTGACATCAGCATACTCTGGATTAGACCCCAGAGAGAACTTCGCATGTGGAAAAATTCAACAAATAGAAAAGTTAGCAGAATTCTTGTATCATCTCTTAATACAGTGGTCATTGCCCATCTGGTAGTCACAAAGTGTCTGTGTGTCTGTCTGTACCTATCCAGTCACAGAGAACAGCTGTGTAGTGGGTGGACAACAATGCTATGTTCTTGTTTTTTTTTTGTTTTTCTGTCATCATTTTCAGTGGATGCTTTTAGGCCAATGAAGCCATTTCTAGTGAAGGTCAAGGTAGACCGAGGAGAGCAGTACAAGATAGACAACAGGTGGCCTCTAGCAGAGCTGAAGCTGGTAGATGGCAAGACTCTCCATCAGGTAGGATTTACTTTTCATGTCAAGGACAGAAATGGTCACGGGGAGGGGGGCAGAAATATGAAGCCAGGTCCAGATCCTTGGTTCTCTCAAGTATGACGGAGACCAACCCATGTGTCTGGATGGAGGAAAGAGGGCCAAATAGGTCTCATCTTTAATCCATTTACACTAGTTTTGAGGGAATTATCACCAGTGAAAAAGATTTTAAAGCCCTCTGCCTTTCCTCAGAGATGTTCCCTAGAGTATCATGAACAGGTATCTCCATCCCTGGACAGTTCCTCAGTCCTATCAAAGTGCTCATTTCCCTTATCCCCTCCAGGCAGAGATGTGTACTCAAGTGCCTGGAATGACTTCCTCTTTCCCAAATCATCCCTCTCTTTCTCTAAGTTAAGAAATTCCATGCTGGCTGGATGCCAGAGTAGGGAGAGCGGTGAGTGGGTGACTGTTGCATTGACAGAGCTTCCATTAAAATCAACGGGCAGACTCCCCTTATCTGCAGGGGCAGCTGTCTCGGGCAGGGATCTTCCAAAGCTCTTTGCAGCAACCCTCATTTAGAGGCTGGAGAGATGGGCTCTGCACAGCACTGTTCTTGTCAGGTCTCCAGCATTTGCAGAACACATTGTCAGGCCCATCTGTCGATCCATGTTGACAAAGCTTTCTGAGAGACATTTGCATAGGGTATTTAAAGATTAAATGAAGGCATTTAGTGAAAGAAGGATTATAGAAAGCTGGAGGGAGAGGGTGCTATGAGTTTGCACTTTTAGGGTGACATTAAGTTCTTCGGGGAAGAAAGCACGAACAAGACATCCCCTTTCTCCTGCTGGGGCTGGCAGAGTGTCATTAAAGTTGTCATAATCATTTTTTTTATTAGTGTGAATGTTCCAGGGTCTTGGCAAGATGCCTGAGGTTTCACAAGCGTAGAAATAAATGAGAAAAAGAATGGCTTTCCAGATCTACATCCAGGACAAATAAAGTACATCTGCACAGCACGCTTGAAAGGAAAATCACTCTTTCAGGTTCTCAGGGCATCTTGATGCTACAGGTAGAACTAAGCTGATGTTCCCTTATCTTATGTCTTTCCATGCACTAAAAAAACAGAGACACTTTAATCCTGCCTGAGCTTTCTTTCTGCAGATGAGCTCAACTCTACCAAGCCTTCTAAACTAACAGGGCTCCTGAGAAGTTTGCAATAGATACCTCCAGGTCTTTCAGTCCTCTCCCCCTTATTTGCAAAGCCAGCAACATGAAGTGATCATACTCTATATTAAAGTATTTTATAATTTTAAAACCCCACCTACTAGGAGGCAAATGGATAACTTTGATGCCTTAATGGCTAAAGAATTAAGACTTCCAGCCTGTTTTCCTAGCTACATCATCCCTGTTTATTCTTGTGCCAGGGCTGTCCTTTAGATTAGACAGCTCTTCACCCTTGCAGATGTATTTTTAGATTGCAATCACCTCCCCTATTAACCTTTGTTCTGGTAGGCTAAGCAGACCAGCTGCTTAGTCTCCCCTTGTGCATTAACTTCTTGGTTTCTTTCATCAGGACGGGAGCCCTCCTCTTTACCTCTTCTAGGCTAATTTCGTCTTTCTTGAGCACAGACAGTCAGCTTGGTCCCTGTTATTCCTAAAATGGGATCTACTCTTCAGCTGCAGCCACTGCACGAGATTCCCAGCACGTGTTAGCGTTTCTCGGGACCGCAGCACAGAGACTCCAGTACAAGGCAATCTCCTCAAGTTAGCACAGTCCCTCCCTCCTGAGCTTGGCAGGTCCATTAAACAAAAGAAGGGCCCCACTTTTGCAATGCAGACAGAAAGGGCTCCAACCAAATGCCTATGGGTCAATATTCAATAAACACAGCTAGGGTCTGGTTTGCACTACACCATCAAGCTTGCTTTGGTGCACTGGGAGTCCTCCGTCCCCTGGGCCCAGCAGTGACCTGATACTGCAAGTCCAAAACTGTTTAAAGCTGCAGCTTCCATGACTAAAACAGTATAAATATTTATGAAGTGATTAACGGATGCCTCCCCACTTTAATAGCTCCTCATAAGGCATGCTATAAACCACCCTCACTGTAAATTCCTCCCCCAGACATCACAGCTCCTCACTGTTCCAGGGGCTGCTGCTAAGCCTGCAAAGCGGTGTGGGGGTGAGATGCATTGCTTTAAGGTGTTTAGAAAGCAAGCCTCAAAACATTATAGAACTTCACAAATCCTCATCAAATCTGTGTCTGTTATTCTGTTATTATGATTAGTATCAATAATAATAATAAGTGCAGCATCTAAGTTCTTTAGAAAATGAGATCAGGCTACACTGCTTTGCTAATGAGATGGTGCAAAAAGGGATTTCATTCTGTGAGATGTTCCTTGTTCAGCAGCCTCCTTTATTCTCTCCACGCACACATACACGTTAGTGGCAAATAGCAGACCTCCTTGTGCCCCCTCCATGGGGCCACATCCTTTGGGCATGGATATATGCATATTGACACATAAAAATGTAAATA